CTTACCAGGGTCTTCAAGACTCTCCCTAATCTAGCCCCAGCCTGCATCCTTTCTCATTCCCCTTCCTGCACTACACGACCAGAGCACTGAGCACGTCACATTCGCAGCTTCCTGATAGTGTGTATGAGTTTTCCACCTTCTGAAATGCTGTTCTTCACCTATCTTCAAAGATCTTCAGAAAGCCTTTTCCTGACTCTCCAACCAAAGTGATCACTCCCTAGATTGCTGTCACATTACCTTATTTCATTTTCTCAATGCACTTCTTACTATTTGAAATAATCTAGCATGTGTGGCTATTTGCCTATTTATGGACTATATCCATCACTAAAATGTAAGCTCCTTATGAGCAGGAAACATGTCTATCTTGTTGATTTACATTAGTACCTGGCTAATGGTGCCACAATAAATATTTTTGAATGAATAACTTCCACCTAAAGTTCAGAGGAATGTCCTAATCCACCAAACCCAAGGACTGAGTCAGTATTTTTTAAGGTACAGTTCACCTACCCAGAGAATATTAAGTTTAAAACAGTGATTATATTGACCGGTGTCTCCCAACGTGGTATCCCTATTCTACTCCACGTTCTGAATCAAGAGGCTAGGTGTTTGTCAAAGACTAGGTGTTTCTTGGCACCCAGAGACAAGCACCAGATGTCTGAAAGATAAAAAAAAAAAAAAAAGGTACAGAGGAAGCAACTTCCTCAGGAAGCCGTGGGGAGGCCCTGGCTACTGAGGCAGAACAACAGTCCATTAAATACTGCAACAGAGAGACTTTCAGACCAGTGCTCAATAGTCAGTCCCTCAGATGGCTCTACCATGGGAATTGTGAGACACACTAGCAGACGCTCACATGCAACACTAAATGCTTAGGACTTCCTCTATTGAGAATTACTAATTTCACTTCGCTTTTCTGAGAATCTGACTTGTCTTTCATGCTGGCAAGTGAGAAATAGTAGTGACTATAGACCATGATCATTATCTACCATTTGGGGTAAGAGCTTGAGATAGCAAGAGAGCCAAGCCCACGAGAGGTAGCTGGGCCTGTTCAGTTAAAAATATCTTGATCCAAAGGATTACAGGAACTGTGTCATAAATGTGGCAAGTTGCAAAGGACATACAAAATCCATTAGAGTTAGGTAAGGCTTATCAGTAGAATTTAAATTTAGTCATGCAGTTATGTAGATTTTAAGCTAGACAAGCACTAAATGGTTAATGATAAAAGTGTTATATTGTAATGTGATTTCTGGCATTAATGTTTCTCACCAGAGAACAACGGCACCCTGGGAATTAGGGAAAAAAAGGAAAAACAGGGCCTCCAGGGTGGCACAGCGGGTTGAGCAAAGCACTGTGAAGCTGTCCACAGCCTCTGCAGTGCGGGCTCGATTCCCGGCCTGCCAGGGAGATACCCACATGGTGCAGCAGACCTCTCCTGTCTCGCTCGCTGCTCCCCTCAGCTGTGTATTTCAGTACGTCTGCCTGTTCTGCTACCCACTCTGAATCTGGTGAATCCTCTCACCCTCCCGTGCCTCTGGCCTTTACTCCAGTGCTTGTATAAATAAATAGAATCTTAAAAAAAAAAGTCATCATAAAAATTTTTTAAAAATAAAGAAAAAACAGCTACTACTATCATGGAGAGATATTCTGACCTTTTTTGCACAAATTACTTCTCATCTAAATATTCATTCATTCAATATTAATGAAATGCTACCACTGTGCTACGTACAAAAGAAGATAAATCCCTATAAAAAAAATCCCTCCAAGAATTTACAATTTATCAGGGTAGGAAAAAAAGCAAATACACAGGAGCTAGCAAATAAGGCAATCTCAACTAAAGCTAAGAGAGAGTAGATGGGCAGCCTTGAGATGAAGGTTCCTTCAGCTTCATGAAGAAGAGAGCAAGGTGGCCTGGGAGGAGGGGTGGATCCTGTCAGCAGAGATGACCACTAATAGAACAGCCAGAGTAAAGGGAAATAGAGAGAAGAGCGTATACCCAGGAATAATAACACTGTAGTCTGGGGCCAGGGATGGGGCGATGCCAGGTTGGGGAGGACAACTATTGCTTCGATTAAATCTTCACTCAAGGCCAGAACATTTCTTCTCTCCCTCATATGACCTGAGACCCAATAATCTACATGTGGAAGCTCTAAATCACACTGTAGTAAGAAATTAACCCCCAAAAGAAAGAAATTAAATCAATTCACTTTGAAGCTGCTGCCACCATGGGTATTCTCGCCTTTTCCATGACCTTGGTTATGGGCTAATACTTATATTACAATATTGTTGTATTATAGTAACAACATGGGAGAAATTAGAGAATGGACATGTGGCCAGGAGTGGGCAGAGGTGGTGTGTATATCTGTGTTTGTGTGTGTGTGTGAGAGAGAGAGAGAGAGAAAGAGAGAGTGAGAGAGAGAGAGAGAGGGAGAAAGAGAGAGAGAGACAGGAGAAAGAGAGGAGAGAGAGAATATATTGGACAGTTTGGAAAGTCTGAGAAAAGTTATTGGGTCTAATAATTTGTGGATCTTTTTAAAGTGAAAAGACTGGGGCCTCCTTGGTGGCCTAGGGGTTAAGTCTCAGCACTATCACTGCTACGGCCTGAGTTCCATTCCCGGCCAGGGAGATACCCACATGGCACAGCAGACCTCTCCTATCTCGCCCACTGCTCCCTTCAGCAGTATATTTCAGTAGTTCTGCCTGTTCTGCTCCCCACTCTGCCTCTGGTGACTCCTCTCACTCCTCGCACCTCTGACCTATACCCCAGTTCTTCTATGCAAAAAAATAAAATGAAATGAAATGAAAAGACTGACATAAATCTATTCTACTAGTGCTATAATTCCAAATGGAGAGCTAATATACTTAAATGAAATTTCCAGAAACTTATCAATACTTAGAAAAAACATTTTATATTTTCACTTTTAGAACTATATTCAGTCAACATTTAAATGTTATTTTTAAATGATCATGACGAAAGGGCATCACTAATATTGTATAAGAAAAAACATACTGCCTGACATAACAGTCAAAAGCCCTAGTTCTGCTCTACTGCTGACTTGCAGTAAAGCTGAACCTCCAAACAGGGAGGGGGTGAAGGGAGCTAAGTCTGTGTCGGGGGCCAAACTCCTGATCTGCTCTTCTGACATCAGTGTCCCCCACACTTCCTCAAAACCTCACTCTCTATATGCACATCTGGGGTTGGGGGTGCTGCCAAAATGTAGATCCTCTTCACAACTTTTACCCACGTTTGGATTAATATCTAAGGTACCTTCAGATGGGAAAATGTCCTCTGGTTCTATTTTATGATGTCATCTTTAGATTTAAGAACAAAGACTTGAGAAAAGCATCTTTTTAAGTAAATCTAACAACCACAGGTTCCAAAGGCCATCTTAAAAGCATTAGTCACTAACAAAATATAATTAGCAAGCATTTAAGGAGTGGAATATAAAAATCAAACATTTAAAGAACCCAGGAGTTGCCAAATCATAGAACATGTTTTTACTATATGTATTTTTTTTATTAGCCATCATAAGTCCCTTACAAATAATATATAAACACTTTTATATTATATATGCTAATGTTCTACACACAGAGAGAAGGAGAGAAAGGATAAAGATTACTATAAAGACCAAAGGAAACCTATTATGGACCTCATCCAATGATCTAAATTCTGCTACTTTAAATGCAGTGGCACCTATAGCTACAACCTTCGTATTATAAGTTAGTGTGAATTTCACCCTTGCGATTCTATCAAGGACTATGTCTAGTGAACACACTAATCTTTTGATTCCTTCACATCAACACTTAGAGATTTATTTAGGCTAACACTTGGCTGTTCCTCACAGAGCTCTAAGGTTCTTCCCTGATACCTATAGCTGGTTCTCCTTGGTGTTTAGATATTTTATTTTTATACTTCTGTATTACTTTTAAAGATACATATTCAGGCATATATTCAGACTTTTAATAAACATAAACCCACAAAAGTCTACTTCAATATCCAGAAAGAGTATTATCAATTTGGGCAGGAGAGGAGCAGGAGGTCATTCAGTTTATAAACAGTTGTGTTTACAAACCATTAAGGACACTCAAAACCTAACCACTATAGACAAAAACCTAACCATTAGAAAAGATTCATGTTGATGGTTTTAGATTTTGTTTTGAGCTATTTTCTGTATTCTAGTCCACCTCTGCCAACAATAACAATTGGATAACCTGGAGAGTTCCTTTCAGCTCTCAATACTTGCATATTAAAGATCTATGATGATTAACACATTTTCTTGTTACCGTGACCTAAAACAATCAGACTATTCCTAAAGTGAGATCTGTTTTTGCACAAGTGGGACAGAAAGAAAAGAGTTGAGAGTCTTAATGCACCAAGCGTAAGTGATTAGTGTGTAATGCAATGCTGATGTTAAATTTTAAGAGAGGTAAAGGTAAGCAGCTTAGGAGAATGCAGAAAGAGAAATGTCACGTGAGGCACTGAGCTAAATGTGAATCAGAAGTGAATTCTGTGCGCCCCATGAGCTGCCCATTCACCTGGCCTTACAACCACCAACCAAGGCTTCCTGATAGCCCTGGGCAATTTTCAAGCAAACTTAATGAAATAGTTATACATGTAAGAAATTTAAGCCCCAATCTGAAAGGGTAACACTAATTTTCTAATAGAGAGGGTGTGATGTTATCCTCTGCACCACCTGGATAAAATATAGAAACTTAAAGCAAACATTCTCCCAGGGAGCAGAGCTACTACGCTTCCACCAGTGTGCACATTGACAGCACTGCAGAGTACAGCATGAGTAGGAACGTCCCCCAAATTTTATCCCGAAATTAATGAATATGGAACTTGTCTTTTATAAAAATGAAGGTCGGTATCTTCAAGTCTTGAGTCTTTAATAATAAGCCATTTCACAAGTCCAGGAGTTTTGAAGTGAACACATCTCATCTGGTAGCCCCTCACCCCCAGCTTGCCAGAATCTATGCAAGTGAAACCTATGAGTCTGTCTTACCTGTAATCTGACTCTGTCCTTGTGGATTAAAAGGACTTGGTGCAGAGTTCAGGGAGGGCCGTGGGTTCTGAGGCGGGACACCTACTCTCATACTGGGATGAGGAATGCGCCCTAAATCACTGAGGCGGTCAGAGAACAAACTAGGTTTAGAGTCATCAAGCTTCTGTCTGTGCCCTGGAAACAGCAAATCATAAAATAAAAGCATATTAATTAGCTGAACAATTGACCATGCTAAATAGATATGTGAACATACATACTGGGGATTTATGCCAAGGAATTATCAATACTGATATTTATAATGATGTGTCTAGATAGTGCCTTCCACTTCATATTGCTTTACAATCATCTGGTGGCGTGCGTTCTTAGTTCTGTTCTATAAGTGAGGAGTTGAGGGACCCCCAAGGCTGATGCAGAGTTAAACTCTAGCAGAGAGGCCAGAAGCTAGTGCTCAAGAGGAAACCTCTAGGAGCTTTGTCTAGCCCCCTCGGTGAGGATGGGAAAGAGGAATGTATCCTGGGATGTGTTTGCGTCTTTCACGAAGGAGAAAACCTCCCGTGAAAGTGCGTCTGTCCCAAAGTTGAGGCAGAAACAGAGACAAACATATTTGTTAAAAGGGAAATTTCCAGGATGACCACAGGGAATTTTGTCTTTTTTATGTTACAACTATACTTTACAGAAACTCTTCTCTGAAAAATAAAACTTAAACCTAGAATCAAGGGGGGGGGGGAATGGAAATACAGGCAAAGAATCTGAATATTCTGTGATATGCCAAAGACTGAAAGCATACAATAGACTATCGGAGAGAATGCTTTCTTATTTTAAATTTAGCACTGTGATTTTGTAAGAGAAATTGGAAAATACCCTTTGGGTTACCAGGTGAATGTGAGAATCCATTATTTAAAACAAAACAAAAAAGCTTTGTCTCTTTTCTGTTCAAGTGTAAAATCTAAGGAAATTCTAGATATTAAAGAAATATGCAAATTAAAATATGACCAAGATACTAAAGACATTTTTCAAATAATCAAATCATTCTTAGTAAAGAGCATAGTGTTATTCCGATGCAAGAATAACAGGGAAACATCTCAGTCTCTGTGTAATGCTGGCTATGTGTAAATCCACAAAATAAATAAAGGGATAGCTAACATGAAAACAGAAATAGATTGTTTGCTTCTTCTTTGTTCTGTAACACTGAGGCCCTAGGACTCTGTCTCAACATTTTTTCAAGATGTTAAATAACTGAAGTGAGTCAAAGAAGAGGCATTAAGATGACTGGAATAAGAATGTGCTCTTTAAAAAAAAATTCAGGAAATTAGGATTATTATTCATGAAAGTAAAAAAAAAAAAAACCTTGAAGGAGAATCACCAAAAAGCCTTCCAGAACGGGGAAGTACATTCTATCAATAGCAAGAACACCTCATCTTCCCCATGGTGCAGGACAAGAGGAATGGGCCAGGATAGGGTTAAGCTGAACATTAGAATTCCCCAACTATAAGTCGTCTTCATAAGACAAATTCCTTATTTTATTTGCCCCAAAATGTATTTTCCTGTCTCCTTTTTCATTGCCTACCCAGCCCAAAGAAAACAGACAGGAAGCCAAGGCTTGGTAATATGAGTGTAGCTGTCTCCAAAGCCAAGCATGTTTCAACTAGGCCCATTAACTGAAATGCACCCACCACCCTATTTCCTGCCAGTGCAAGTTTTTTTGGGCATCTGCTCTAACAGAGGGACTAACACTAGGAGAAAAATGATCAGGAAAAGCTAAGGAAACTCACTGTTTGTTGATGGTTGTTTTCCCAACCACTTACGACTTTATTCACATTACAAATAGATTTCAGTACTCTAAAGGACCTTTAGAGGGTACACAAAACAGCTCCTAACCTCAGCAAGGAAGGTGTTCACAGATGAAGTGAGCAAGGCCTGTTGGAGGTGAAACAACCAGCCCGTGGTCCTCAGCCACTGACTAGCTTCCCCTGGACTAGGTTGTTAGCCCAGCTGACGAAGCTTCCCACTCATCACGCTGCACCTCAATGTCGGCATTCTAGCTTTCTCTTCCCTTCCTTTCCCAGATGCTATGGAGCACTAAAAACATCAGATCCAAAGAGTGAGACACCTAAGAAACGGGCTTCCTAAGGTGCTACTGCCAGTTCTCAATGCAAGCAGAAGCAGCAGCCAGGATTCAATTACAAAGCTAATAGCTCACCCATTACCCTAAACAAACTTCCATCAATACATCTTGCTGAGTCTAACCAGTTTCATTAATTAGGGAATCATGGAGTACTTGTCACAGTTAGATCCATGAATTCCGTTCCACATCCCCCCCCAAAAAAAAAAAAATATTAGTGTAGCGTTGATTCAGCTGTAAACGTTAACAAGAAAGCTTATGGAATTGTCCTTGGAAGTTATTTTTTTAATAGACCATATTTTTGGAATGGCATATTCCCTGAGGGCTAAGAGGAGGACTGCATGATCTTGCATGGTTCCTTTACACACTAGGACTTTATGTGGGTCATGGGTCACAAGAACATTTAATAAGCTTTGCCTCTGCTTCTCCGGCGTTTTCATTAGGTTTTCACAGAGACTGTATGAGATGTGAGCTCAGTATGTAGACGTGTGAGAACACTATTTTCCCTTAGCCCAGTGCTTCAGAAGAGTACTAGAAGGTTGTAGGCCAAAGTAAAGGGCTTCGAGTAGCACTCTGATAAGTGTGTAAAACTTAAGAGCAGGTGAAATTTCAAGAGACTCAATGACCTTTGGGGAAATATCTTCAAAAAACAAGCTGCCCAGTATCTCCAAATACCCTAGCGTAATTCAGGGAACTCGCTAACTGTGGGCGTGTATATACAAAAAACATCCGCATTTTTCCTTGTCGATGTCTGCCCCTTCATCACCGCCACGACAACCACAACAAAATTCTTACAGTACAATGACGAACAAAAGCTGAACAGGTTCTTCATCTTTCAACCATGACAAATACTTGCTACCACTAAACCACATCAGGGTAACACTTGAATGATAGGCAGGAAAACGTACTTAAATGCTCAGCACCCAAGCAATCCCTTCAGAAATCGAGAACATCAAACACAGAGGGAACACTGACTTAAATCAAGGACAGGGAACTCTGCTATGGTGCAGGGAGAGCAAAACCTCCCCTAAAGGGTCAATCAGCAGACCTCCAAGCAGGAGGAAAGTATAAGGGATGGAAGCTTCTTCAACTATATGGTGATAGGTGGAAACTAGACTTCTGTGGTAAATATAATATAGTACATACAGATGTTGATTTTATCAGACCTACACCTGAAACCTATATAATGTTATAAACCATATAACATATAAAAACTACTTCAGTGGTAAAATACGACTTAGAAAAGAAAAAAGAATGGAAGATTCTTGTGTTCTATTCAAGACTTTATCAAAGCTGAGCCCCGGGACCCCTTCTCTAGTAGTGCCTTTTGTCCTGAGCAATGGCTCTTCCACCCTAGAGGGATAGGAAAGTCCTCCAGGGAGCTTTGAAAAATATGAATGTCCAGTCCCCACATAAGCTCAATTTTATCAGAGTCTCTGGAAGTGGATCCTGGGGAGACTTATTTTTCAAAGCTCACCCCATGACCCTACGTGCAGCCGAGTTGAGAAGCACTCCCCAAGATGATCTCACAGTCCCATGTACTCAGTGCCACCCCTTCACACCAGTGACTTCCTCACTTCTGGGGTAAGCCCTGACCTCCTTCCCGAGTTCCATGTTTCACAGCCTACTTGAAATCTCCCAAGATGTCTCAAAGGTTTCATAAATATAGTATGTTCAAGATAGAATTATTATGCTTTAAAAAAAATAAACTATCTCTTCCTCCATCTTAGGAAATGGCAACAGTCCCCTAGCTGCTTAAGCCAAATACCTAGATATTTTCTTTAATTCTCCTTATCCCATATTCCCTATATTCAATCTATTGCCATGTCTTATCAGATCCATCTTGAATGGATATCCAAGTTTATTCAGTTTTCTCATTTCCACCAGCACAAACCTAGGCTGGCCCCATCCTCTCTCTGGTCATCTGTCATTGTCTCTTTTTAGTTTCCCATCACAGGACCTCTTCCTATATATGAACGCTCCCCCCCACCCCCCATTCTTTGTATAATCTGCTCCTTCCCACCCCTTGGGTCTAAGAGTGAACACCACTTCCTAGGAAAGGTTTTGCCTGCCTTATACTGAGAGCAGAGCACTCGCTCCATTTATTTCCTTTATGGCTGTCACCACAATCTGTAATTATGTGTGTCTGTCTCCCCTGCTAGACCTAAGCTCCATGAGAATACGTGCTGTCTTATTTACACTGTATTCTCACAACCTAGTTCAGTGCCTGCCATACAGTAGATGATCAATCAATTTTTTTTAAAGATTTATTTTATTTATACAAGAATGGAGGTACAGGCCATATGTGCGGGAGGGTGAGAAGATTCACCAGAGACAGAGCGGGGAACAGAACAGGCATACTGACGAAATACACTGCTGAGGGGAGCAGTGGGCACGACAGGAGAGGTCTGCTGCGCCATGTGGGTTGCTCTGAGGCTGGCAGGGATCAAACTGGCACTGCAGGGGCCGTGAATAGCCTCACAGCACTGTGCTCAACCACCTGCGCCACCAGGGAGGCCCCCTCAATCAATATTTATGCAACAAATGAGTGAATGTTTTCCTATTTTAGATAAATGCCTTGGTGGAGAGAAAATTTTCTAGCAAAGGATATCCTAGAGCAACATGATCTTTGCAAGAAACACTAGTCTCGTCTTATTTGACAATCTAGTGAATCCTGTGGGCAAAGCCTTTCTTTCAGACAAGCCTTTATTGGGACTTCCTAACAAATTTCCCTGAAGGACATACATTTCAGTGAAAGCTTTTTTTTCTCTCTGGGGAAAAAAAAAAAACCTAAAACCATCTGCTTTCATTATAATTCTTGTTGCAAGTATTGTTGCAAGTGACTAGAGCCAGAGAACTGAAAAGGATGATAGAAATCATTTAGATTCTAAATTTTAGAGCAATGTGTTTCTGTTGGCGGATCCTGCATCTCTGAGAGAGGAAGTCTCTGCCCAAAGTTCCAGATAGTGGCAGAACTAGAACTCAGGTCCAACTGCCAACTGAATCATTTTAGATCATAACAGTGCAATATCAGTCATTCAGGGAAAACCGT